CAGTTATTGCAGTTCGTGAAGCAGTGCATGCCCAATTTATTTTCTTTTACACACTCTCTGATTTTTGCCTTTTTGCGTCTACCTCAACTACCAAAAATCTCTTCAAAGTGTGAGGATGCTTGTTAGCATTACACCTTGTGGTCCTTAGGTCCTAATTCAACCTGCACAGCTACATGAGTAGGTTTCACAAAGGAATAGGACCAAATTAAAATTTATTTTTTTAGGACCTGATTAAAGTGTCTTTTTGATTATGTAAAAGTAGATGTTCTATGCACGTGTTTAAACCCTTTCTTTAATTTGCCATATGCAAGGTCAAAATAAGTGTAAAATGAGGGCAAAATAAACCAAATAAAGACATGTCCTCAACTTGCTACTTAAAAAATCATAATTCTTTTAGCTATAATGGAATGCCAACAACTTGCTGCTGTTTTTCATGCAGCTCTAAACCAGAATCGGTATTCCACAGAGCAGAAGTTGTTTTCTCTGGAACCGTTTTTGATTAGTTTGCTTTTTATTTGTGTGCAAATTCTGAATGCATTCCTGAGGATCTCCAGTCCTGCTTTTCAGTGATCATGCAGCCCAGATACAGAAAGCTAAGTTTTTATCCTGTGTTCCTTAGAACACATAATTTTCAGTAGATTTATCTCCAAATCCTCAAACAGCTTCAAATAGATATTTTTTTTTTAAAAAAAAAAAAAAAGTAACCTGTACGATATCTCCTCCACTTCTGAATCTGGCCTGAAAATGAGAGCCACACAGCACGTGGGAGGTCGGTGCTGGGCTGGGAACGTCTTTCCTGCATTTGGCAAAAGGTGAGGCAAATATTTTTCTGGCAGGCTAGTATTAGGTAATTGTTGAATCTAACGATTTTAAGCAACTGAAGTGGCCAATGGCCACTTCAGATTCTGCTGTTACATAACCTTCATGTATATTTCTCGGAGTGGATATTCATGTATATGCGTAAGTTTAACATTATTTTCTCAATCTGAGTGAGGTGAGTGTACCACTGCATAGCTCACTGCAATGGAAGGGATTTATGATGAGTCTCTCATTAGTGTCAGCTCATTTTTCACTGCAAACTACATTGCAGTGTTAACACTTCAGTTCTTCCCAGTGGCAAGAAGACAGAATGAATATTGCCACTCTTTAGAATGAAACATGTCAGTACCAGATACGGCAATGATGAGCTTATATAAATAATTACATTGATAAGTAGCTATAAGCACATGTAATTACTTTTGCATTAACATGTTGCTTGAGATTTCTTTTCGGCTGGAATTAGTCAGTGATTTTCTAGATTTGCATATTTGTAATTATTTGGTTTTAAGTGTTAGCTATATACAAATTAATGTTTTATAAGTTTTCAAAATTTTTACCAGGTACATTTAGTTTATAATTAAGATCAGCATTTATAACCTATTTATGTAAAGAAAATAGATTGAACGTGGCAGTATCTTTTGGCAGATCATGGCAATGATTATATTTAATAGAATGTCATTCAGAGCACCATTTTCCTATTGCATCTGAAACCAAACAGATGTCAATTAATTAAAACATAATGTGAGATATTAAGAAAGGTGATATTCTTAGAGTCTTTGAGATACATTCTCATCTTACTTATCATTCTGTTCTAAAACTATTTTGCTGATTTCAGGGTATTGCTTTCGATTTTTATTAATGTATTGAAAACATAAAACAGACCACAGCAAGACCCCTGGTTAACCTTACCACTAATTTATCCCCTAGCATAAATTGCAGACATCTTCACTGCTCTCAGTGAATAGCACACACTCTAAAACAATTGGTGCATAAGACAGCAAGAACTTCTGCATTCTATAAAACCTTAATGATTCTATCATTCTGTGATTCTATGATTATTTTCTAACAACAATGGGGAATCATGATAGAAAATAAAATAATAAAAAAATTAATCACCTACTCAGTAACGCATTCAGGCATTTGCCTAGCTACTGAATTTAGTGTAGGATCATTTATATGCGTAAGCACTTTGTGTGATTGAGACCATAGGGCTAAACTAGTTGTCGCTATAAAAGGACAAAGATAGTTTAATACTTGAGACCAGGGTCATAACAAGCAACACATTCAAGCATTATTGCATTTAAGAGGGGATTTCAATTTTCAGAATAAAGTTGGGTAGAAACCTGTTAGCAAATTTACCACAAATAGAACAGGTATAGTGAATTAAACTGGGTCAAAAATGCTCACAACGTACTATAAACACAATCTTTCCCACAACATAAACAAGTGACCATAGGAAAGTCACAAATATTGTAACTGTGGGGTTAATTTCTACCGTACTAGGACAAACACAGAAAAAAAAATAAAAAAATAAAACACAGTGACAAAAGTGTATGCCTATGTGGAACTCACTAGAGCTTAAGTAATTTTCATTGTGTAAATGCGCTCTAGGCACAGTGAGGGAAAAGGTCAGAAGTAACAGAAGAAAAAAAATAGCTGCCTAATATAATCACACCTTTTCCAGAGAAAATGCAAACTACAAATGTAAAATAATATTTTTTAAAAAACTCATTGTGTAAGATTTGCCCTATTTTAACCGTACTAGTTTTATATCAATAAAGAGAGAAATATGTTCTCCCAATGACTTCTCATATATTTCATTGGTAGCTTGGCAGAACTATGGCCTTATCTGTAAATTCTTCATGATTAATCCAATTCTAACATCTTTATGCAAACTATTATGCAAAAGAATGCAAAATCCAAAATATTTTAATTTGTTCAGAATAAATTCACTGTGATTTAAATGTCTATAATCAATTATCTAAAGACAATTTTTATAAGCTTTTTGAAGTACTATAAATGAAATTTTTTTTTGAGGCCAATAGATTTATCAAGCACATAGCATGAAAATAAGAACTTTTCAATCCCATTTAAAAGTACGTGGTTTTGAGGGTTTGATGATGTAATTCTGAATACAAACAAGCGGATCAGTAGGTTATTATTTCTACTGTGTCAAAATCAATTATTATTTTAAGTTTAAATCATGGGCAGTGTATGAAATATATTTTTCTAGTGGCATGATAGAGTATAACAATACTAGTGGTATGAAATGTCAGGAATATTCTATTGTATGAAGCTTTTTATTTACAATTTTCTGACACAAAGTCAACATGAAAATCAAAAATTGCTAAGCTAGCAAGGGGCAAAGTTACACAACAGTTTGACCTCGTTTTCCTTGTAACTTTCACAAGCAATTAAACAGTTTATCTAAATGAATTAACAGGGTTGGAGGTTTTTTGTACAAAATGCTGCTGTTATTCATGATGCAGGCATTTTAGAAACTAAGCAAGTTTCACCAAGTTCTCCTGCTGTAAAACCAAAGCCTGGTACCACAGAATACACAAATGTGTTGTTATGTCCAGTGGATTAAAAGTAGTAAAATCCATGTATTCCCTTACAGTGTGTCATGCCTTAATGCAGCAGTAACGTTTGACTCCTGAGGTCAGAGAGCAACATTTCAAAAGGCAAGATATAACCCACCCACAGACTTTTGTACTTGATCTGCTCTGCATTAGCCCAAGACAACAGCAAGACTCCTCCTGCCTTTTACAAAAGTGGTGACCTTAATTTGTCTTAACTCGTGTCTAACAATCATAATGTTATTTTTTTAACTTACCTAGTGCAAATTGACCTAGAAAATATTTAAAAAGTGGTTACATTCCGGAGATTTTTCTCTTTTCTCTGCACGTGAGATAAAAAAAAAATTACAGCAATCCATCACTTTGCTCCCATGGGAGACACTGTTGATGTAAAGAACACAGCGCCACCATCACCAGCTTCTTAGAATTCAGTTTCTACAACTAGTTCTGATGCTTCTGCTGGTAAAATTCGGTTGCAATGATTTTCACACAAAGCAAGAGGAACATAATTGTCTGAGACCACTTTTTATTTGTATAAGTGATCACAGAAAGTTTTTTCCAGTATTTTTTTCTGCAATGAAAGTAAGCACAAGATATTTCTTCTTTTGTCAGATGTCTGAATTAGTTAATGTCTGACAATTAATATTTTATATTATGGAATATTTTATATTATGTAAAATTTTGCCTAGCATTTGCTTTGATTAATTAGATATCACATCAAACTAAGTTGCAGAATCTAAGTGATAATACACTATATCAGTAAAAATCTTTGTTGTTACATTATGAAAATGTTTTTCTTACTCTGCTGAGGGTTCAGACCTTACCGTGTGTAACAGCTTTCCATGAAATGAATTCCATGTTGATGCAGACTTACATAGATTTTTATTTGCCCATTCAAGATACAAATACAGGAAGATTGTAACTTGAGGGCTATTTTAACCCTTTCTTCATACAAGATGAAAGATAAGGGTTTGGTATTAATGCTTTTGTACACATATGACACAAGCAGTAATAGGATCAAAACAAATGCCGAGTTTGAGCTTTAGATGAAAAATACTGCAACAATAATGGAGTTAGTATTATAGAATCATAGAATGGTTTGGTTTCGAAGAGACCTTAAAGATCATCTGGTTCCAACCTCCTGCCATGGGCAGGGACACTTCCCACTAGACTAGGTTGCTCAAAGCCCCATCCAGCCTGGCCTTGAACACTTCCAGGGCCTCTGGGAACCCTGTTCAAGTGTCACCACCCTCACAGAAAATAACTTCTTTCTAAGATCTAATCTAACCTAAATCTAACCTCTTTCCATTTAAAACCATTACCCCTCATCCTATCATGACACTCCCTGGTAAAGAGTCCCTTCCAGTCTTTCCTGTAGGTCCCTTTTAAGTATTGGAAGGCCACCTTGCAGGTGTCCATGGAGCTGAACATCTCCAACTCTCTGTTTTTAATAGTGTGTTCTCTACTTAGCAGCTATGCTTTTATACAAGTTCTTCTGGAGTCTTTTTAAAGAGTTCAGTAATCAAAACCAGCTGACTTCCCAGCAGTCCCCATGATTACTGAAAGAAGAGAAACAGTAAATATTCCTTTTTTTTCTTGTAGTATCACCTGATCCACACCCTCCAACTTGCCATAGTGACCAGTTCACATGTGCGTATGTGCAGCAGTGTTTGCCCCTTGCTGCAAGATGCAATGGGGCTGAAGATTGCATGGATGGAAGTGACGAAATGAACTGCCCCACGATGATGCCTACCACCATGTTTCCTGGTTCCTGCAAGCAAACAGAGTTCCTATGTCCTTCCAAAGGCTGTATCCCATCCCTCCTGAAATGTGATGGTGTGCCTGACTGCCACCTTCATGAAGATGAAGTTGGCTGCCGTAAGTTACTTTCATTGCTATAGTTAAGGTGATGCTAACTTGCTTTCTTTAAACAGTGATGCGAAAAAACCACAACATAATGAAGTATAGCGTAAAATTCACTATTCCCTCATAAAAAAAAATATTTTTATAATGTATTACCTGGAGAGACACTCTACATTTGCAAATACTACTTTCTTATTCCCTGACTATAGACTTTGCTAAATGCTTGAAATAATTTGTATTGTGTTTCTGTTACTAATTGGACACATTTCCACTTTTTTCCATAGATAAGTCAGGTGCATTTGCATTTTCTCATCTCTGATTGCAATGAGACAGGCGTAGACTTTCACAATTCTATAATTTAGTAAAATTCAAGGCAATCTTGACCTTTCAAGGGGTTTGAAATCGGTTCTGTTCCTGCAGTAACAGCAATCTTTGCCCTGAGCAAGGAAAAGGGCTCACAAGCAAAACGCAAGGACAACAGGCTTCGAACTGTAACTGCGGTGAGATATGCAAAAACTGTCTGCCCTCTTCAAAATGTTTCATTATTAGTAGATGAACTGAGGCCAGTAGTTTCATTTCAGGAAGGTCAAATAATTAGCTACATAGAAACAACAACGAAAAGAGGGGTTTCACATATAAAAAACCATTTCTTCATAAACTTCCCATTCTGCAAAGGTTTTTTTAACATTTTACTTTTCATCTTTATCAGAACCAAAACAACTAGTAAAATATCAGTTTCCAGTGAGCTAGAAATTCTAGTTGTTTAATATTTTGTATCAAAACTACTGAACATGCATGAAGGCCACACGCCATTTCTTTTAACAGATTACTCTGCAAAACCAGCATGGATTTTTCAGACTTTCTGTTCATGCCTTGCTAGGCACTTTTGTTTAGAAGCAGCCTCTGTGGTTTTGTTGGCAAAAGGCATGATTTTGGAGATATCTCTTAAATTCTACATTCCCCAAAAACATGTTGAAATTTTACACCTTCCTAAATTCATACAAACCTCTCATCATCAGTCCTGTTTCCTTCTCAATCTGTCCTCTATTAGAGATATCCCTGCTGTATCCTTACACATGCACATCCCAGCTCCACACCACAGCAGCTACTATGTTCTAGAATCCCAAAATCCAAAGGCCCCAAGATATCCATGATTATCCAACTGAGATATTGCCTCATTGGTTTTTTTGTTTTGTTTTGTTTTGTTTTTTAACTTCTAAGCAATGGTCAGGGAGTGAAGGGAAATTAAGTCCTGGTCTAGTCAAAGAAAAAAAATCTCCACAGATATTGCACACTGTGAGATTCTAAGTGGCATGGAAATGTTGTTAAATCTGTAATCACACTATTGCTCCAAAATTCAGTTTTAACTATATAAATATGCGAGTGTTGACAATATAAGATAGGAAGATAGCAGCAGCAATTCATGTTTCTTCTAGAAGATACTAGATACAGGTAAAGGAAAAACAAAGCATTTTGTGGAAGTTTGGAACGGAATCAGTGAAAAGGTGTTTACTGCACAGCCAAATTTCCCATTGAAATATATATGCCACAAGTGTGTAGAATTTAGTCTCTAGCTGTCTACTTTTAACACGTGAAATGCCATTTAAGTTTGTCAGCAAAGTCAGAGAGAAAAAAGTAAATATTCCACAAATTTTATTTATTTTATTGAAATTTCTGGATAATCTATAAAATTTATTGTTGTGCTAGTAACTCCAGCCTATATGGACTGTATTAATAGCACAGATTGGGAGTGTGGGGGTTTTTCCGATTTTAGTTTGAAATAGATTATTTTTCTGCTAAGCAGTTACAAACTCATAATAAGATTTAAGTAGCAAAGTTTGTGTGAGTTTTTTGGGTTTTTCTTGGTGTAGATCAAATCTTCCTATTGATTTTAGAAAATTTTAGTTTAGGAATTATTGGCACCTTCCATTTTGTGTGTGCTATGTTACTTAGCGTTTTATTCATTTGAGTATATCAATAGATGGTTAAAAATGTTCTGCTTTCTGAATTCAGGAATTTATGAGAGAAAGTTTTCTTCTGGGATGAAGACCAGTCGTCAAAATGCATCTTGCAAAAATTAAGTCTTAAACCCAAAATAAGACCAGGACAAAGAAAAATAAACAAAAAAAAAATGCATCAGTCAGATCTCTACTAAAACCACAATTTCCACCACAGAAATATTTTCCTGCATGACCTAGAGATTTATGCAGGCAGAATTTCCCGTAGAGTTCACTCAGCAGTTAAGGTGCACAGTATTATGTTAATACTGTTTTAGACCTACTCATGTGGTGGATTTTATTACTTGCTTCTTTTAACAGGAAAATCTTGTAATTGTTTTCCAGTTATAGATGTTATAGATTGTTCTACTTGGCCAGTTCTCTTCTTGCTGTCAATTTTACTAAGGGTAATTTATCTCACCTATTTATTTGAAATACTTTTTCTGTTTGTCTGATTACAATACTAAGAATGTAAAACAAACTTATTATTGTAGAATCATAGTATCATTCCTGTTGGAAAAGACCCTTGGGATCATCTAGTCCAACCATTAACCCTACTCTACAATGTTCACCCCTAAACCATATCCCCCAACACCACATCTAAACGACCTTTAAACACATCCAGGGATAATGACTCAATCACCTCCCCAGGCAGCTTATTCTGATGTCTGACTACTCTTTCTGTGAAAAAATTTTCCTAATGTCCAGTGTAAACCTACCCTGTTGCAGTTTGATGCCATTCCCTCTTGTTTAATTAGCTGTGAGGAGAGACCAGCACGAACCTCTCTACAATGTCCTTTCAGGCAGTTGTAGAGAGTGACGAGGTATCCCCTTAGCCTCCTCTTCTGCAAACTAAACAAGCCCAGCTCCTCCAAACATTTTTCATAAGATTTATTCTCCAGGCCCTTCACCAGCTTTGTTGCCCTCTTCTGCACTTGATATCTCTCTTATACTGAGGTGACCAAAACTGAACACAATACTCAAGGTGCGACCTCACCAGTGCTGAGTACAGAGGGACAATCACCTCCCTTCTTCTGCTGGTCACAAAATTTCTAATACAAGCCAGGATGCCATTGGCATTCTTGGCCACCTGGGCACACTGCTGGCTCATATTCAGCCGCTTGTCAATTAGATTCCCCAGGTCCCTTTCTGCCAGACAGCTTTCCAGCCACACTTCCCCAAGCCTGTAGCATTGCATGGGCTGATTGTGGCCCAAGTGCGGGACCTGGCACTTGGCCTTGTTGAAGCTCATCCCATTAATATTGGCCCATCAATCCAATCTGTCAAAGTCTCTCTGTAGGACCTTCCTACCCTTGTTTAGATCAATACTCCCCCCTAACTTGGTGTCATCTGCAAATTTACTGATGGTGCAGTCTATGTCCTTATCAAGATCATCAATAAAGATGTTAAACAGAAATGGTCCCAACACCGAGCCCTGAGGAACACCACTTGTGACCGGCCACGTAGGGTACCAGTAGGGTGCATGCCTTGCTTTTCCACAGACCTCAACACCATTTAACTGAAGTGCTAATAGCAATGAGTAAAAAAAACCAGTTTAACAAAATCAACTTGATCAGTGTAGGTTACTGAGAGAAAATAAATACAATCTGATCTTAAATACCCTCCCCTCCTTCTTCCCAGTTACCTTCTCCCCCTCATTGGCACAGGGAGTGGGTGGTGCAACTCTGGCTGTTACAACTCATTGTCCATGGCAATCCTTCCTCCTCAGGAAGAGGACTCCTTGCAATCTTTCTTTGCTACCACGTGGTGTCCATCTCATGGGAGGCAGACCCCCCCCTTCAGATGTGCCTTCCCATCAGAGTGTGACCCATCCACAGGTTGCAGTGTCCTCTGCTCCATTGCAGGTTTACCTCAGATTCATGAGTCACTTTGGGTGCATTCTCTGGCCCTGTGAGGTCCCTCTCTGCCCTGGCATCAGCTTCTCCCCGTGCTGCTGCATCCTGGACGTTTCACCATCATCAGTCTCCTCGGTTTTCAGGCTCTCATCATCCTGCCACCATCTCAGCAAGGGCTCAGTGAAACCTCTGCCCCAGTGCTCTTCTTTGCCCACGTTGGTCCTCACCAACCACATGGTTTGCTGTCCTCTCACCTGCCCCTCCTCCAAACAAAAACTCTCAAACACAAAAGACAGGACACAGAGACAAAGAGACTGGCCCAACAAGTTTCCCCTCTTAAAGACATTAATCATGGAGGAGCTGATTGAGCCAGCCTTGACCAAAGGCAGGTTCAACTTTTTACCTGAGGCTAGGGAAGACTCTGGAAGTTTCACAAGGAGCCACCCCACTGCCCTTCCCCCACTACCAAAAAAACCCCACCATACACAAACCCATCACATCTAGTAAATGTAGTCAAAGGGGTTGTGTTATTTTTATCATTTTCACAATTTATTTGTACCTGGAAAATGAAATACAGATGAAAAGCTGATATTTACACTTTCATGTCTTCATTGTTATTAATGCCTCTGTTTAATCTTTTTATCCCCAAAACATCTGAAGACCTCTCATGAAAGTAACAAATAGCTAGTAGGAGAAATTTGAAGCTCCTTGTAACTCTCTTAACAGTAAGCAATATTAATTTTAGTTTCAACGCAATGGGAGAAAAAACATTATTTATGAAATGTGCTCTTAACATTCTTTACCTCGGCACCAATAACTTGGTGTCATTGTCCTTTCTGTCTTAAATGCTGCATCTATGCGAAGTATTCAGCAGTCAGATCCATTTTAATGACTGCTCCCTCTGGAAGTGGTATAAAAATCTCAGTGCAATAAGCTTGTTCAAGGTAAAGAGGCATGTCAAAACCAACTTGATGATCAACAGATATAAAAGGAACCAAAAATAATTAGCATTTCTTTTATTTTATCCTCAGGTATGTGCAGCAGCAAGTCCAGGACTAGGGGAAATAATAAACAGCTAAATGACACTTTCTGTTCTTACCACAACCCTCAATGCAAGTTACAGCTCAGGAACTGAATCTTTATAGTAGTCATAATATATATGATAAACCAGAAGTAGTCCTCAATATCCACATAGTTTACAGCATCCTCAAAACACACATCTAGGCAAAAAAAATTGACAATTGTAAGAGATAGATGATAGGACATGCTGCCAAGTGGAGTAATGTTGTAATCTGCTGGGATTTTTCAGTCTGCCACAATCTGTTCTGCCAGACTGAGCGGTCAGGGAAATGGAGAGCAGGAAAAGAAATTTTTGTTCTTGTTGTTGCTCTTATCCTGCTGTCACTACCAGCAAATCTCCTCTTCAGTATAAAGAATTCTCCATTCAGTTGAAGAGACTTTGATATAAAAACATGTGCAGAACAGTGTAGTTATAGTTTAAAATCAGCCAGAACTTTTAAGGTCTCATCAAGTCAACTTTAAATCAGAAATAAGAGCAAGTTTCTTCTTATAGTTGCTAGTATTCTTCTACAGATTTTCTACAGAATTTAGTAAATAGTCAGTGGATATAATTAAAAGGTTTGATCCCACAAACCCTTTCTCACATGAGTAATTTCAAATTATCCAATACCAAATATCAAAATTATCAATTACCAAATTATCATTTATCAAATATCAAAACTGGCACGAGGTGACTGGCAAGATCAAAACTGGCATGATTTGCCTCCATTATTGTGGTCTAAATTGAACTGCAGTATCTTAAATTTAGCATATTCTTGCAGTCTGTATAGACCAGTGATTTAAATTATAGTTAAAGAGTGGAACAAATATATTCTCCATCCAGCCTGGGAGGCTTATTGCTGTGTACACTGGAAGTTGAACCCAGGAGAAGGAACGTGTTATGAAATTTAGATTCAGAAATTTAGAAGAAGCAGATTTTTTTTCAATGTTTCCAGATTCTTTGTTCCACTCTAAAGTCACAAACTGATGTGAATATATCTAACTTTGATGGGGTCGGAAGAGTCCCCTCTGATTTGCATTAGTGTTATGGTGACAGAATTCAGCTTAAATTACCTAAACAAAAAAAAAACCTCAAAAACAGTAATTTAATGTAGTTTAAGGGAATGTTGTGTGAGATAAAATGAAAACATGATGTTATAGCCTACAGGAGCCTGCAGGACCATCAGATAGATAGGGTGCATCAGTGACTCAAGAATAATTCAGTACTTGAAGGCTTACATCATTCCAGAAAGATTTACCCCTCATAATTCTTCTGGTCAAATATAGAAAATGTAACTCCAAGCCCACTAATAAAGAAGTTTGGATTTTTCAGAATAGAGTGGTTTTGATTGGAAAGGACCTTAAAGACAAGCTAGTTCCAACCCCCCTGCCATGGCAAGGACACCTCCCACTAGCCCAGGTTGCTCAAAGCCCCATCCAGCCTGGCCTTGGACACTTCCAGGGATGAGGCATCCACAGCTTCTCTGGGCAACCTGTTCCAGTGCTTCACCACCCACACAGTAATGTCCTATCACTACTCTTCCTGGTGAAGAGTCCCTTCCCATCTTTCCTGTAGGCCCCTTTTAAGTGTTGGAAGGCCACTAAAAGGTCTCCCCAGGACTCTCTCTTCTCCAGGATAAACAACTCCAAATTTCTCAGCCTGTCCTCATAGGGAAGCTGCTTCAACCCCCTGATCATCTTCACTGCCCTCCTCTGGACCGACTTGAGCACATCAGTGTCTTATATTGGGGGCCCCAGAGATGGACACAGTACTGAAAGTGAGGTCTCACAAGAGCTGAGCAGAGCAGAGGAGAATCACCTCCCCTGACCTCCTGGCCATGCTTCTCTTGGTGTAGCCCAGGATGTTGAATGGCTTTTTGGGCTGCTGGAGAAAATTGCCAGCTCCTGTTCAGTTTTTATCCACTAGCACCCACAAGCCTTTCTCTGCAGGGCTACTGTCAATCCACTCATCACTCGGATTGTATCTGTGCTTTGAATTGCCCTGACCTGTGTGCAAGACCTTGCACTTGGCCTTGTTGAACTTGATGAGGTTTGCATGAGTCCACCTCTCAGCCACTTGTTACAGGAGGTCCTCAACCTGGGCACACCTTCTTCAGTCAGGCCTGCCGCCTGTGTCTGCCCCAGGAGGCACTCCCTGTTAAGTGTTGTAAGATATGTTCACTATGTCTTAGTATTTGGTTTCTCATAATGGAAGAAAACTATATATCGCCAACTTTTTTCTTTATGTTTAAAAATTAATTCCATCGTTTTAAACCTAGGTTATGAATGAGAGTTGAATATGTTTTGTGATATCTTTTTATGGGTTTTCATTGAGGTTTTGTATCTCACTCTGTCAATGTTCTAAGTAAATACGCCCTCCTCGTTCACAGTTATGGGAAAATTCAGCTTCTGTAACATCTGTGCTCTGTTTGTTTACTTATTTTTCTACTCATAGCAAAGCTGTATGTCTTTGAGGATGAAAGCTTCTTGAAGTCACACAGACACAAGTTTATACACTACAGTACAAGTCAAGTTTTCTGATAGCTTTTTAACTGTGAGAAAAAGAAATATAGCTCATAATAACTATTGTGTTACTTTTCGTTTCAGCCATTAAAGATTGTTTCAATGGTTCTTTGTTATGTGCGTCAACTAATCAATGTATCACAATCTCCCAGCGTTGTGATGGCGTTACTGACTGCATTGATTTCAACCTTGACGAGTCCAGCTGTTCAGGTATTTAGTTTTGCATAAAAATATCATTTGAAACAAAAAAGCACTGTAATTTCCTACTGATTCTTCAGGCAGTCCTCTAATTTGACTGAATTTCCTCTGCTTAATCAAATTATGTCAGGCATGAATTTTCCTGATGAACATACAACATAGATAAAATAGTGCGAAAATGATGGAAAATAACATATTTAGTTAACATCTTCACAGTGTTGTTTTAAAAAAACACACAACCTTTGTAGTATATTACTAAGGCTGTCAGCCGAATGAGTAACCCACTTAAGTTAACCCACATTTCTGAGTTAACAGGATTTTATGTCTGTTTTTTTTTATTTTTCAAGTGCAACACAAATGAAGGTTGGAAAATAAAACAAAATATACTGCATATGTTTTAGCACAGCGCATTTCCCACAATATTCAGGTTTGGTTTTCAGTAGTTAAATGGTGGAGAAAGGTAAGAACAGGACAATAACATACATCAATTTGAATCAGATTTTTATTTAAAAAACCCATATAAGTAATTAAATTAAATTCGAAGTATCCCCTTCAGTGCCAGAAAGTTACTGCAGTTCTTCCACAAAAAAGTTTAAAACTCTGGGCCAGTTTTGTGTTAACAGTACTCTCCCAACTTTGGTGAAGTTTCATGAGCTGAGAATTTAACTCTGGTTTTATAATTTATTAGGAGTTATGTGATCAAGTTCACAACATATAGTATGATTTGTAGTACTATAATGCATTGCAACATGTTAAATATTTATTCACAAACTAAAAGTTTTACATTCAGTTCTTGGTAGGAGGCATCTACTGGTTTCTCTGGGAGTGAAACATGCCCACAAGTATTGTGTTCATTATATATGTACGCTATACTTTTTTTTTAATATGAAAAAGTAAATCATACTTTAACATTGCCAATTTTACAATGCAGAGAGAACACTACTTGGTAAATTTGATTTGTAAGATGTATTTTAAATAAAAATTAATATATTCAGAAATTAGTTCAATATAGAGTACAGAATATAAACTAGTAGACTAGCATGACAGTAAATTACAAATATTCCGCTATGCTGTCAGAAAGCAGATCTTTTAAGGAAGTATTTACTTTCCAAAATTTCTTCTTAAAACTGGAGGTGTCCACACTGAATAGCACTGTTTATATGTCTCAGCAGACAGTTTTGTGTGGCATGTATCCAAAATTCTTTAGGTCTAATTTGCATTTTACTAGTTATTTCCTTACTAAAGAAGATTGAGAGGTTTAGTTTTGATATTGAGTTTTTCTTGCTGTAGGGATTTAAAGCTAAACTTCCGTAAAAGTAAATGTGATGATTTTGAAATCCATGTTAAAGGATGTAAAAAGCTGATAATAGTATATCACTGACATCCCCCTCTACTTAAACACCTTCAGTCTTTTCAATGCTTATTTCTCGAGTTCTTGTGGTAATGTGTTTCTAAGTGTTAAAATTCCAGATATCTTTAATAAAGTTGGTGGCACAGGAGTAAGTGTCTGTTCATCACCCTGATATGAAAGCTATTAATAATAAAGTAGATCTAGGTACTAACTAAACATAAGATCACTTCTTTTGGCTCTTATTTCACAAAATCATAGAATCACAGAATCATTTAATATATTCCTGTTTGTTTGAAAATTGAGTAAGTGGCAAAAGCTCAATTTCTAGAGTCAAATGAAACTCTGACTTGAAAAAAAAATAGAAGCTTGTTCAAGTGCAATACCATGAATTCTATAAGCTCAAGAGGAGCCCATTGACTATAATGTATTTATGACTTGGCGTTTTTATCATGAAGGCAAGGTCTGAAGGAAGAGTTTTTGGAAGTGCTAAGCCCCAAAATGACAGGTGTGAATGATCTGCTATTTTGAAAATCAGGCAATGACACATGTAATAACAAGGGGGAGGAATTTAAATTATAAGTTTTACTTTTATGTTTCAGTTTGTCCTGAAGAATACTGCAAAAATGGAGGAACATGCATCATCAAAGATGACATTCCATTATGCCAGTAAGTTTCACTGGGGATTGAATTGTGCTTGAAGTTGGCAAAAGTACTGTTGAAAGAGCAGGTTTGCTCCTCAGGGACTGAGATGGCATTAAATAGAAATGTGTTTTTGAAAGTCTGTGTATGTCTACACTATTTTTGTTTACAGTTGCTGAGTTAAACCATGTTTTGAGAGGAATATTATTTAGCACGCAGAATTTTCTCTAACTTTCATCTATCATTACATGAGACAACCTGTTGGCCTGACATCTTAAGTTTTCTGTGTCTCGTGTTTCACATTAACACATAACAACACATGCTTCTATGAAAAATTAGGCCTTATATGCAGCAGGTGGTGTGTTCCTTGGATGAAATTTACAGCAGGCCATGTTCTCATCTTTACCTGAACTTTGTGATGTATTTCTGTTATAATGTTATTTTCTACGTGTATTTGGACAAAGAAGGTAATATTTTCCAGTTATGCCAAACAAAAGGTTAAACATATGCTGGTATTTTTCTGAAAATACACTATGCTGAAAAACAAATAATGAATGCAACTCTGATGTGGAATGTAAGAGTCATTAGAAAGTGTCTCAAACTATCTGAAGGGATTTCCCACTGGGAAATTACAGGAGACTTTTTAAAGTGCAAAGAAAGCAATATTGTGCATTATACTTTTGTCCTTCATGTGCTTCAGTGGACCTTGCCAGAGAGTTTGCCAAATTACTAGAGAAGTGACTGTTTTATGAGTGTCTGTCTTAGTCAAGAGGAGGCATTAAAGTTTGTCTCCTAGTCTCTAGGAAACTCAATAAACCTGCTGACAAAACTTCAGTTATTGCAGAATTTGTATCTTTCAAGACAGGTTTATCCTTCACTGGTTGAAGAAATGTGATAAATAACATACTCAGAAAATACAGGCACTTTCATATAGAATGCTTTGATTTAGCACTCAGAAAACATCACTGTTAATTACCTGCAGATTTCCCAAAGAATCTCCTCTATCATGGAATAGAGAATGATCTCTGCAAGAAGCTTTCGATTTCATTAAGGTGTTTGTTTCAAAATTTCTTGTAACACAGAATGGGGACAAAAAACATAAGGATAGATTACAGATGAAATGGAATGGATAGCCAGCAGAAAATAATGGGATTGGGAATAACCAGGGAGTTTACAACTGATAGATTATACCATTAATCAGTAAGAAAATTGCTTGTAGGGACAAGGCACTGGAGTAGTAATTGAGATTTTAAGGATATAGCAGAATGATAAAAATGGAACCTATGTTAGGACTTGCAAATCAAAAGAAATCAAATTAGCAAGTATTCTTTATCCACAGAAGTGAAAGATAGTTGTAAAAGTAAAACAGTAAATGGGATGCTTTCCCTCAGCATTTGGTAAGAAATCTGATACTGAATGCCAGTGCAATGCATAGGTATTTGGACCAAAGGCAGAGAAATGAAAATGACCTGACTGATGAGCTAACATACCTCCAAGACTTCTATGTATTTGTGTTGGAAATACATCATCTCTATTCACAAATACTAAATAAGCAGTGTGTGTTGCAGTAGTGGAAGGCTTTCTGAAAACTCTGCCTCTAAGGGATGTGACTGGAGAATAGCAAATGGAGAAAAAAGGAATAGCCTGATCAAGTCTCATACCAGTACCATTCAAGGCTTTATAATACTTTGAAGGAATTACTCATACATTAGCCATTTCTAAGATAAGCTTCTGCATGAGTTTTGAAAATCCCACATATCAACACCAAGAAAAGAAAGAAAAGAATAAAAATGCATCTTAAATGACAAAATATGTAGAAGTATAACAGGTTTTATTTCCTAGTCAAAAAAAAAACCCCAAAAAATGACGAATACTGTCCTGTCACAGAAGTGGCAGAGAAAGACAGTCTTCCTAGAAACCCACAGGTAGTTGTGTGGAGATTACAGTGGTCCTAAAAGTCACTGAGTTTGACTAATACTCTTCATTGTTGCAGTAGACAAGGAGAAAATTTATCAACATATTCTTTTATTGCTATTTTTTCCTACATAATGGATTCGGGTCTTCCTCTACTTGAGATGCTTGTATTCTAGTTTCTACAAAAGAAAACATGAGTCTGGAGCTTAAAGACTCTTTGGTCTCTCTGGAATGTGAGTTTAACAAAAAATAGTCTGGAGAGATCTCAAAGCTTCATTTGATTCAAGGTTCCATGGCATTCCCCTAAACTCCAAAACTGATGCTCATCTTAGCTTAGTTTGAGGTATATTGACAAAAAAATAATCCAGTCTCTGGAAAGTATTTTTGGTAGTGATAAGGTGTTCAAATTGCATAATGTAAATGGTTTTTCTTGTAACCTTTATTGTATATAGCTACAGGAGCACATGGAAAGGAATAAGAGGTGGGTTGTCCTGATTTAAGAGGAGGCAGGAACACCAGCAGTGCAGGGAGAGCTGAAAAAATGCCCCTGGCAATCCTCCCAGCACAGCAGATACTGAATGTCCCAGGGCTCTCTTTAGGGGCCCTTATATACTGAACACTGTGATTGGTCTGTTTGGGTCACCTGATCCATCCTCATCTTCCCATAGGCACAACTGCCCCCCTTCCCCCATTGTGATCACCCTGTGGTCCACGCAGCCCTAGGAAGTTTTTATCCTGATGCTCTCAAACCAGGACATAAGGAGTGAGTTTTTCCTGTGGTTTTAATGAAATGTAGTTGAAGTAGTTAACTGTACGGACTCCTCCAGGTGGTTCAGTAACTCAGCGTAGAAATAGAATGAATTTTCAGTAGCTGCTTAGGCAAAAGAAGTCAACTCTCTGAAGAGATTGAAAATTGATGGATTTTATACATTTAATGCTTCTCAAGTTTGTTCGATGCTATATGTTTTTATATGTGTGCACTATCATTGCTTGTATCTATAATGTGAATGCTTAGGTTGTCGACTTTTTTTCTGTAGTATGTAACTAAGAGGGATTAGGAGAATGTGGAAGATGGGTCCTGATAGCCCTATATGAAGACCAGGAAGAAAAGATACCGATGGATGCAAGTATAGATAAAGTTTCTGTATGTATTGAAATGGGCAACAGAGTTGGTATATTAGGTTCTTGCCATTTCTCTTTGTGCTGCTGAAAACAGCTATTCTTAGCTGGTGCATTAGTAACATCAGTGAGAGGCCACAGTATTTAAGAATGCGACCACTTGTATGGTGGTGGATGTTCCCAGTGAGGGCTTGTGAGCAATGGTACTTTGCGAGTGGTGGTTAATTTTCTACTGAAATGAAACACAGCTTGATGACTATCCTGATCCTCTCTGGCATTTGACTTCTGAGTTAGGTTTGAAATCCGTTTACATTTGCTTCTCCTGTTCAATCAGGAGAGTACTTGGGGTGTACATCAAATATGTTTATCTGGCTCTTACTACTCCTTGGGTATTCTCTGGATGTCAGACTAGGGGCAGCTTTAGTCTGAAGTGCTAAGGCCACTCTCATGTCACAAAATGTGACTCCTCTTTGTCCCAAACTGAGGTCCCTTCTGTAGTGGGTGCACAGTGAGGTGCCTAGTGCCAGCCATCAACTACTGTAGCTGCACATGCAAATCAAGATAATTTGAGCAATAATGGCTGGAGTTTTGCAATTTCAATAGTCTAATTTAAAAAATCATTCCTTTGATCGTATGCATACTTTCCCCTGTTTTTTTGTCCAGTGGTTTTTGTGTGTGTTTTATTTTTCATAAAGCCAGACAACAGACCTCTGGAAACACAGGAAAGGAGTATTGATGAGAACAAGCAAGATGGGAAAAGTGTGTTTGTAACACATTGAAGTGGAAGGATGAGACTTGAAAAATTGTACTAGCACTTTAAAAAAAACCAAACAAACCTGAACAAATAAAAAACGTATTTTACCAGACTAAAAATACATAGTTCTAATTCTCTTACCAGCTAGAAAATGCTAATACAATACATTCATAATTAAAAAGTACTAAAATTCACATAGACAAGCATTGTGTTATGCTTACTATTTCCTTTTATATTATATAAAGACTTTCTATGTAATACACCAGATTTCAGAGCAGTTACATTGACAAATACTAAGGACTACAATGAGAGTGCTTTTATTAATGTCTGAACTGTAAGAAGACTATCCTTAAGCAGGAAAAGTAATTACATTTACTGGACTGTAATTAAACAATCTTGTTACCAATTAGAAATACATCTTCATTACACAGTTTTTAAATTACACTGAATATGTACTATCTAGCTAACTGTGCTGTGGAGATTAGAATTTCAGGGAGTCATTATGCATAGTTAATTAATTAAGGTTATCTTTGTAGTTGTGTATCTAAATGCTGATTTGGCCCAAGGTATAACAACTGAATTATTTTGTGTGGTTTTGTTATGTGATAAAAGTGAAAAAGATTACGTTCTCTTTTATGTTTTACAAAAGAATTTACTTTTCAGGGTAATAATTCATCCAGAGGAGTGGATTTTTTTCTCATTCTCCTTAGAAAAGAAGCTACAGGCTATTTGGTTCTCCAGTTTTATGGGGTTTTTTACTTCTCTTTTTTTTTTTTTCCAAAATAAGCTCATTATTGTAACCACAAATAGTCTGTTTTAATGCGCAAATAAAGTATGTTATCCTCAGTGGTACAGTTGCAAATAGTATTCCGTAAAATTGTTTTCTTAAAAAAGTACATTTTTGGTAGTTGAGACATTTTTTTCACAATCTGATTTTGTCTTCAAAAGTACTAACTTCTAGTAAGAACAATACATTTTTTAGGAGAAACTCTACAAGGTGGCGTGCAGCTTCTAACACCACAGTGGATTTGTTCAATACCTTTCCAGTTAAGTATTTTATGTGACAGGGTATGGAAATTCCACACCCTCTCTGAGCAATGTCTTCCAGTGAGGAATGTAGGAGTTATTTTTCTAAACATGTTTACCTTAGAATGTACTCTTACTTGTACTATTTTACTGGTGGTGATCTTTAAGATTGAATCTTTAAGATTGAAGGAAATAGAAGACTTAGACTGACAAGTTCA